TGTTGGGATAGTGAAAGAAGCAAATACATTTTTGTTCATTTTGTTTCCTAAGGAGTATAATGTTTTGATGTTATAATTGTTTATTTCTGGAGCCGAAGGATAAGAATGTTTTGAAAATTTTAATTGAAATATAATGAATAGTACTATAATTATTGATATAATGTAAGCATGTTGATGTATCTAGTTGTGGCATATCATTAAGAGGTTGAAACTGTCTTAAACTTGAAAGATTAATGCTATTTAGTTTTTTATTGCTTTTATATTACAGAAGCAGATCATTCTTTGAAATATTTTAATAGAACCAAATTGAAGACAATAGGCATAAAGATATGACTTGACCCACAAATTTCTGAATATTGTCCATAGTTTAAGCCTGGTCATGTTAGAGCTGTTTATATCCTGGAACGGCATTTGTCTTTAGGCCTAAGGAGGGAATAGCTCATGAGTGTAGACCACATTTGGACAGATTTAGTATTCAGGTTGTTACTTCTATAGGTAGGACTACTTCATTATCAACTTCTACTAGTCATAGTTCTGGTTTTTGACCTATTGTAGGAATTATATAGATCTTCATAGTCTGTGTATAACAGTGACTATAGGTTTGTACAGTTAGGGAAGATTATTAATTTAATCTAGTGTATCAAGAATTTGTAATGCTAGAGCAATTAAAATTCGATAATGGGAAGAATAATTCAAACTGTTTCTACTTGTGTATCTGTTGTATTTGTGTGAGCTTAGTTGTCAATATTAATGAAATTAATGAATTGATGTAAAGGACTAAAGAACTAGTCAGGAAAAACAATTAACTATATATATAAAAGGTTAATATGCTAAGTGTTCCTCCTACCATATGACTGGTTGCTATGACATGCACTGACCATCAGGGGGCAGATGCTCAATGCAGGAGCTGCCCCTGGTGGTCAGTCCACTCCCACAGGGGAAACACCACTCAGCCAGAAGCCTTGAGCCGGGCTCACTGCTGGCAAGTACAGCAGTAGTGGCAAGAGCCTCTCCCGTGGGGAGTGTGCCTAAACCATCAGTTGGACATCCACTTAGTGCTCCTGGACTGTGAGAGGGCACAGACTGGGCTGAGGACCTACCCTGAGTGCACGAATTTTGTGCACTGGGCTTCTAGTTAATACTATAGTCTCATAAAAATATTGGTTGACCATAGCCCTTTTGAAACATTGGAACAAGACAATGTGTATTTTCTTTGGTTCTGGGTATCTGGTTTTGTCTATTCTTTTACATAAGGAAATTTTGCTGTTGCTGCTCTCCCTGGCCAGTAAGTGAAAGAAGAACTCTTTATCTTTTTGCTTCAAAGATGCATTTCCTTCAGCTCTGAGCTTTCCAGAATTCTGCTCTCAAACTTCCATTCAACATTGCAAATTTAACTCAAGATGGAGAATAATGATCTCTCTGAACACAAACTTTCTGAGGAAGTTGTCCCACGGAGCTTATGATAATAAATCTCTCACAGGCACGGCAGCCTCTGTTAGCTATGCTAACAGGCAATAAAAAGATCACTTATGACAAAAACAACAGCTTTGGCCAAGGCGGGGACTTCAGGACAGGGAACCCGGGGTCCTCGCTGCAGCCCCGGCCCCATGGAGGAGAGTTTTCTCGAATCCTTTGGGAGGCTGAGCCTCCAGCAGTCGCAGACACGGGTGCCAGCCCCCCCGCCCCCGTGTGGGACACCCCCGTGCCACCACAGCTTTAGGAAACACCTCTACTTCCTGCGAGGCCTCCCAGGCTCCGGGAAAACCACGCTGGCCAGACAATTGCAACATGACTTTCCCAGGGCCCTGATTTTCAGCACGGATGACTTTTTCTTCAGGGAAGATGGTGCCTATGAGTTCACTCCAGACTTCCTAGAGGAGGCTCATGAATGGAACCAGAAAAGAGCAAGAAAAGCAATGAGGAATGGCATATCCCCCATTAGTATTGATAATACCAACCTCCATTCCCATGCAAACATACTGTGCGTTCAATGTTTTATGTGCTTTTGAAAAATTAGGCACTTGAAAATAACTATGAAGTTATATTCCGAGAACCCGAGACTCGCTGGAAATTCAACGTGCAAGAGTTAGCCAGAAAAAACATTCATGAAGTCCCAAAAGAAAAAATACATCGAATGAAAGAACGGTATGAGCACGGTGTTACCTTTCATAGTGTGCTTCGCGCAGAAAAACCAAGCAGAGTGAACAGAAGCCAGGACAGGAGCGGTGCATCGCCTTCCAGTGGGGCAGGATACTGGAATACCTACGCAGAGTTTCCAAACCGGAGGGCTCCTGGGGGCTTTACACATGAGAGCCCCTTTAACAGAAGAGGCGGTTATCACCATGGATATTAGAGGCTGATCTTACAGGCAGAGTTTTCCTAAATCAGTTTTTCTTCGATTTTTGGTATTTATTCTTTGTTCAGTTTTAGTCAGAGCTCTAATTCCAGTGTAGTCAAACCTGAACGTTTTTGAGCAGAAGTCATCATATTCATCCTCAACAGGCATTTGTTAGTGATGCTCTATGCATGGCCTGATGCTGGGAGTTCTGCAGGTTTGGTTAGACCTAGTCACTCTTTCTAGGAAAGCAATTAATTTGAAGATGAAACCTGAGAAACATACCCAAGAATGTAATCGATTAGTCACATAGGTTCATAAATAAAGTGTTTACAGTATGTATAATAAGCTTCAGTACCACTTTCTCTGAAGTAATCTATTTTTTCAGGAATTCATCTCCATCAGGAAAGTTGGAAAGATGGGAGAAGTGAGAGGCAGGAATAATTTTAGTACCATTGCTACTTTTTAAATCTATGTATCCAAAAATGTGAAATATATGGCTGTAATGATGATATTGATTTTCCTTTAAAATGAATATACTAAGAAGTATACACCTAAAGGAATACTGTCCTTCAAAGTAGACACTT